AAATTAATGTAATCTTAGTCTTAGATAAGTTTATCACTTAACCAAAGTGAAAATAGTAATGATAATAATATACTTACGGAGCACCAACTAAAAGTTTGCTGATTTTCAATACAAATCTCTCAAAAGACGTTTGAACAGGTCGGTTAAAAAGACACCAAATAAATAAAAACGGATCAAACTACTACAGCGCCATCTTCCTTAGAGTCTGAACTAAGTCCTCCGTCGGTAAAAATTTTTTTATTTGCAATTTAAAATAGTGAAAATTAAATAAAACTAAAATGGGTAGACTCGCCCCTGGATGGGTAGACTCGCCCCCGGTTTACGGTAGTGAAAGAATTTAGAGTGTGTCACTTAAGAGAATTGATACTTGACGCGCTTGGCTTGCTCGAAATAGAATGGAAAGAACAGTTGCTAACTTAAACACATGCCACGTTTCATCAACCAATCAGGATCGTGATATCCACACTACGTCACTTGCAGGTATCCCATTGGTTGATTAATTCTTGAGAAATATAAATTTAAAAATACGATTTCTTTGAAATGGCGAAATACGCAAAAAGTAAAATTAATATTTAGGGATCTAAACTTTCGACCGCTCTCCTGACCTAACAATTGGGAATGTATTTTCCGAATTGTGTCCATCCTCATATTTTTGAGGGTCAAGAATCTAAAACCGTAGAAATAAAGGTACATTAACATTTATTGAGAGGAAGTACGTTTTTGTGACTGATTTATTAACTTAAAATATCGTCTGCATAAATTAATTTGCATATATTTAAGGTGAAGTCCATGAAATATTTAGGATTGAGTCCGATCATGTGAAAATCCGATAATTTAAATCAAAAATTATTCAGGCTGTTCACTTTTTTCTTAGAGCACTGTGCAAAAAAAAATAAATAAATAAATGAATAGATAAAAAAATACAGATATAGATGTAAATCAAAGAAAGAATTAATATTGTTTTTCCTTTAAAAATCTCTAATATTTTATACCATGGATTTGTTATATATGGATTTGTTATAAATAAATTTAGAAAAGAAAAAAATTTTCAGACAGAAGTGTTTATTTAATTATAGGGATTTTTTTTAACTCAATTTTACTGCAAGGCAATTTTTAGGCATTAAAATATTGTAACATACTCGCAATTCTCCGAGCTAATTTAATAAACACACATATTTGTTCGACAACACTTAATTTCCAAGGTTAATCCCTATGCAAGATTTGTAAATCTAAACAGCAACATTGAAAAGTTAAGCATGCAGTCTCTTGAAGGACACTGATTGCGTAGATGAATTTAATTGCATTCTAACAATAATTAATCGTAGTGTTTTCAAATTTAACAAATTATCAACAATATCTGGCGATGTCGATACAACCAATATTGTAAAAATTTGCATTCATTTACATAAGACCAGCAGTCATATAAAATATAATATTTCAATACACACGCCTACATTTTTTTTTTCTGTATTTGGTCTGACAGTTTGGAAATTGATTTTGACTTTTAAGTGTTACGCTGATTTCATTCAGCGATATGTTTAAAGATGCATCATAACTAAATTGCTAAATATGCGAAATTCCCAGTGTTATAAAATAAAAAGTGTCCGCTGAATGATATTTTAAACTGGTTTTCATCTATATTTGGTATGCTCATTTCCAAGATTGAATTTATTTATTTCATTGCTCATCCATCTTTATAGATTTAACATAGCTACGCTGAACAATCAAAAAGTTGTTACATTTCAAAGAGGCATCTTTTAAAATAGAGCTTAGAAAAAAATTCTATAATTTAACGTAGCCACACTGAATTAAAATAGAGCTTAAAGAAAAAT